GGTCAGACAAAAAACTAATTTCTGCTAAACAAATTGTATTATTTTTGGAATGTGCTCTTTTTGCACAAATATTAATAATTTGACCAATTTAGAATAGTTTTAATAGTCAAAATTATCTACTTGCCTTGCCATAGATATTTTTTTGCGGAAATGCACGGCCATAGGCTGATCCCTCAGTTCGTTACCCTACGTGCTGCAACGCAACCCGAGCAGCTTGACGATGTTGCCACCCAGCCTTGTTTTGAGAAACTAGGTTAGTAGTCGGTTACATAGCGGACGAGTTGCGGTAGGAGGAGGATGGAGATGCCGGAGAAATAAGCGACAAATCGTCCACTCTGGTGTTTCTCACCAAACATCGGAGTTTAAACAGGGACAGACCATGATGTAAGTGTGACATTAAGGTTTAATTGCCGGTATTTGTTTGGTTTTAGAGGACGATTAGCAGCTAGCGTCGACGCTGAGTTGACTGTTTGCTATGAACGTTGGGCTAAGGCTGAGGTAATATTACCGCATTTCTCGGTATAAATAACTTAGTGCTTTGTACGCTCTGTACAACTATTATCTGCGGAAATGTTTATTCTGAATTACAGCTAAACATGAAACGAGCTGTCATTCATTGAATACGTGGACGAAACTGCCTTACATTATACCGCAAACAGTTTGCAGGGGCGCAGTTCTGCAAAGGTCCCGTGATATAAAAACCCGTCCAGCACATAGCCAGGTCCCACGCATTGGTATTGTGATAGCGTTTAAAGGGCGAGGCTTACGGCGACGAAATCATGATAATACCCTTACATATGACAAACCTATATAATTAACTAACTACATTGCTGCGAGCACTTAAGCGACTTACACAAGGTAACACTAGCTAGTGTTGGAGATGGAAGGGAGCTAGAAAGTAGACGGAGCCCACACGCAGCTCCGTTATGTTGTACTGAGGCTTTGTTTTCATGACTAAGCCAGTAGGTGTTGGTATAACAGAGGAAAATGGTATTTGTATAAATGTGACGTTATAGTTGGTCTGTTTGAACGTCATTGTGTTATTTTCATTTGATCTGTGTTTTTTTTTTTTTTTTCCTTTTTAATCAAACAAAAACAGCATAAGCTAGGACCTCTAGGCTTTTGTATATTTGCAGTGTCCAGATGTTTCATATTTCTTAACTTCAATAGTTGGTTAACTTGCCTGTAGATCAAACATCTTTGGGTTTCAGACTGTTGGTTGAACAAAAGAAGCATTTTGAAGATATCACCCAGGGCTTTGGGACATTGTCATACACATTTTTCAGTATTCAGAAATGGTCATTAGTTACAGCTCTGTGTTTATTTAAAAGCTAGTTACAAAAATAGTCTCCTACTCAGTTAGTTCCAGCTGCTGAGCACCAAGTCCTGCTTTGTCCTGCACTCTCTGTGATTTAATACCCACCAATCACTTTCCTGTTTCCAGAGAGATGTTCCAAGCTGCAGAGCTGAATACCAAACTGCCTTCTACTATCAAGAGATAGCCAGTGCGCAGGATGGAGGCCCCAGAGGAATGACAGTCCCTTCCCCCTCGGGCGACGCACCAACAGTCAGAGGAAAAATGCACTGCACCAGTGGATACCTTCTTCTTTTACTGTCGTCTATTATCACCTCTCACACCGCCGGAGCGTTATCAGTGGACACAGGTGGAAACCGTACGCAAAATGGCAGTGCACCAGAAAGTGGATTTGTCCCAATTGTGTTCACAAAAGTGAGCCAGATAATTGCCCGAGAGGGGAGCTGCACGCTGATTGATTGCAATGTCACCGGAGACCCGTTCCCCAGCGTCCAGTGGTTCAACTCCCATGGAGACCATCTGGATACGAGCGGTGAGACAGACTGTTACGTTAAACCTGTTTTTCTTTTGCTCCTTTTGTCACCAGCAGCACCAGTCACTCAGGCATAATTTAGCAGCACATGCAGAATGATGTGAGGTTTGTTGTGTACTCTGAATGGGGCTGCTAACAAGTAGACATTTGGGTCAGTTTGTTAATCAGAGCAGGATAGTCAGGAGTTAAACAGCATGTCTATTACAGGGCTTGCCCCAGGAAATTGTGTTGCGTAGGTGGTAAGCTCCTTAGACCCACTATATAGTAGATGACAGACTAATGACGACAGTAAAACTCCTTAAATATATGGCAGTTTCTGCACTTTCCCTCTGAAGGCTAATGTTTTATTTAAGAGAAGTGTATAAATCTTTTATGATGTCAGTGGAGGCAGTCTTTATTTCGGGTGAGGTGACATATGTCTGCTGTAGAACTATGGGGGGAAACTCTGCACTATAACCTGATTATTGTGAATAACCAGATTAAGAAGCTGATTGAATCACCTCCAAGTCGTGCTTTGGAAGCAAATTTACAGCTTGTGTTTTGACAATACAAGGTAGAGAAGCTGGAATAAGAACAGAAGGGGGGATACAAGTGGCAGAGCGTTATGGAAGGGGGTAGCAGAGCTGAGAGACACCCTGCCCTGCCCCATTTTCACTTAATGTGTAAAATCTAATGCACCTTTAAAGACAAAGATATTGAAGAATCATGACCGTTAACACCCTGACGAACCAATAAGGAAAGAGAGAAATGATTTGATCCGGTGTACAGTGTTGATTTTAGTTCAGGGTCCAGTCTGATATGTCACAGATGCTTGAATGTTGAATCAAAATGAAACCAGATTTCTGAACAGGCAGCCTGGATGGTCTTGTGCTCCCGAGGGGGGCAGAATCGCTGCACATTTTGTCTGGCAGCAGTAATTGTTTTATTGCTGTGATGGCAGGCGTTTGCCGGTCAGATTCAGGAAGTAAGTCATTTTACTAATGATTTTCATTCAAGGCGAGCCTGTTGCATGTGTTTGAATATTTTAAATCAGCTCAGAGGCAGCGCAGAGGGAAGAGTGATTCATTGTTTTGAAGCCTCTCCTGAGTCGACCTGTTGAAGCCTGTCGGAGGAGGAGGGAGGGGCAACTTTGTTATTACGACCCACAAACCCAGAACGGTGTCTCTCTGCTGTTCCCCTGGGTCATACAAAGAAATCTAATTAGGAAGGGCTACACTCTCACCACTGCAGGCAGCACTCCATAACAAACAGTGATTACATAAAGAGCAGCGTTGTTAACTTGTCCTCACTGCTCTCATCTGCGTATGCCTTTTAGTATTATTATTATTATTATGTAGTACTGTGCAGCTCATCAGTCACATCAGTTGATCCAGTGGTGGAGGTCAAATTAGAAATCTGGCTTTCCTGTGAACAGGCGAATGGGTGGGGTGCTGTTTTCGTCCAGGCTACATTTCCTGACTGCTCATTCATCTCCTCCACCGGATAACAGTGTGGAAAATTGATCGTGCCAGCTGCGTAGAAGGCGGCAGAAATGTTATTTTGCTCCCGTCCAGACTTCAGACTCCAGATTTAGAGATGCCTTCTGTGATAGTCGGTCCATCTTTACTCCCACACAGTACAGACAGAGTGTAGTTGCAGTCGAATTCACTAAATCTCTGCCTCTTGTGGATAAACGCTGGCAGTACAAACAGGTAGAGAACTGTTAGCAGTTTGTTGATTAACCTGGAAAACTCATTAGTCAGTGTCAGTCATTTGTAGTGGGAAAAATACTCTGCTATGGTGGTTTAAAAGGCAGTGTTTTGTTGTTTTGAACATGCTAAATTACATTCCATCACCTACACTGTGTTTGAATGCAAACCCTTGGCAGATGAAACTGAAACCGCAGGTTTGGCATTTAGGGATTATACCTATTCACTTTTTTGCTGAGAGTTAGATGAGAAGATCTTTATGACTCAAGATTTCCCACCTTTGCTCAGAGCCAGGTAACTGAGTCACTTTTAATATGAGAGTGGTATTGATCTCATCCTCTTACTCTTCACATGAAGGCAAATAACTGAAAGGTTGAGCTGTTTCTTCAAAGTGTATCAGGGCCAGAGAGGTCAAAACAACCACCCTATTACCTTTATATGAACTGATAAGCAAATAATCAGGGCAAAAAACATCAGCATCAACATACAGCCAGACTACATGCACACGCAAACTGTACACACACCTGTATCACTACATTTGAAGCTGTTCTCTCACTGTTTAATTTCCCAGTGGGTGCTCCAGCTCCTGATCCTAAGCTCATTAAACTACAGAAACACATTCAGATTTTTCCAGATTCCATCCCGGTCCTAAAAAAAAAGTTTGAAAAAGTCATCACACTGGGAAATAATTTTATATTTAGTAATTTTGGTGAACTAACCCTTGAAACTTGTTTTCAAACTTGTTCAGCTTACAACATGTCAAATCAGCACAAATAAGGTGCAGCCACAGCTCCTGTTTAACTAGATCACTGCTGCTAAAGGCAAAGACACAGATAAAGTTTATCTGATATGGCGTATGCATCATACACTGACATGGCACATGAGTGCTGAGTGGCTTTACAGTTCCGAGTCAAAGGTGACATGACATGACAGTGACATGAAGTCACTGCTGTTTCAAGGACTGCTGTACAGTAACACATTGCTGCTAGGATTAAATGTGCTTCTTTTGCACCGAGATTCAGAGTTGCATTGTTTGTACTGTTGCTTGTTTATCAGTTGGAGAAAAAGAAAAAAGTCTAGTTTATTTCAAATTGGGTTTCGTTTCATGTGTCTACTGGTTTTATTCATAGAATATACTATGTATATGTATAGCGATGGACAGAAATCACCCTTTGATGAATTTTTAATTGATTTGTAGTTTTCTATTAATGATTTAGTTTGTGTTTTACTCTGTGTACTCTTTGTGCCACCATCTCTCTGTAGGTGGGAAGTGGTGGCTGCTGGACCGTGGCGTCCTCAACATCACTAGCGTTGAGTTTGCAGACCGTGGGAAGTACACCTGCATGGCGGCCAACGTGCACGGCAGCTCCAACTGCACAGTAACGCTGCGTGTGGTCTTCACTAACGGGGACATGGGTGTGTACTACGTGGTGGTGTGTCTGGTCACCTTCACCATCATCATGGCCCTGAATGTCACACGCCTCTGCATGATGAGCAGCCACCTGAAGAAGACGGAGAAAGCCATCAATGAATTCTTCCGCACTGAGGGCGCAGAGAAGCTGCAGAAGGCCTTCGAGATCGCCAAGAGGATCCCCATCATCACCTCAGCCAAGACGCTGGAGCTGGCCAAGGTGACGCAGTTCAAGACCATGGAGTTTGCACGGTACATCGAAGAGCTGGCTCGCAGCATCCCGCTGCCGCCGCTCATCATGAACTGCCGCACCTTCATGGAGGAGATTCTGGAAGTGGTGGGGGTGGAGGAGATGAGACACACCTTTGTCAGACAAGCACCCGAGGGACGGCGCGAAGCAGTGGGCGGGGTCACCTCCATCCAGGTGAGGGACGTCTTCACTATTCTGCAGGAGAGGGAGCAAGGGGAGGACAGGGAACGCAGTGAATCTCCTGCCACCGACTCGGACAACTCTTCAGTGCACGAGCAGCCACAGCACATCGCCATCCAGGTGTCGGTCCACCCTCTGCTTGGCGTTGGAGGTTACTGCAGCATAGAGGCTCCACCTCAGACAGAGGCACCAGCCTCCTACCCCCCACTGCTCCCTCCTCTTCACCAGGATGACGGGGGACCTGACGGGGAGGTCGAGCAGAGCACTGAACAAGTTACGCCCGAACCATCAGCAAATAAGACCCCTCCCTGCCAGCTATTCTATGAAAGCCATGTGTGATGAAACGAACCCCGGGGAGCGATGAGTTATCCTGCTATGCATTTTCACTGGAAGACAAAAGAAAGAGGTCCATAAAAGCTTAATTTCACATGTTGGAGAGAATCAGTCGCATTTTTTTTTCTTTTCTGAACAGAACAGTCTCTGTAAACCTTTGTAAGCTGTTGGACTTAGAATTAATCCTAAGGTTTTTTTTTCACATTTAGGACATTTCATGCTTGAATGTACACACGAGGGTTGTCAATATTATTATCAATGTAACGAGTAGAAAATTAAGCACCGAAGCACATTGCATTCAAAGAAAAAAAAAAAAAATTGGAGGATCCAATCTTGTAATTCTATTTCCAACCTCTGCATTAACTCATGATTATGAGATAAGATCCTCCGATTATTTTTGTTGTAGGTGAATGCAATGTGCTTCTGTAAAGGGACATTTCCTGTGTTGAGATCTTCATAGCTCTGACTATTATTTAAAGAAATAGGTGTTTATGTCTAAGAAGTTTTTAGTTTCTTACCGTGATCTGGGTTTTAAGACGAACTCCAGAAATCTGCCTCATGCTGCTCTTCATGTGTTTCATTTTTTAAACCATGAAAGCTCCACTTCCTCCATTTGCTCAAGAATTCACATCCAGCTACTGTTACAGCCGACCTGCTGTTACTGTGCAGCGTTCTGCTCACATAGAGATGCATGCTGGACTTAAAATAAATAAATAAATAAATAGGTTTGGTCACAGTTTCATGGCTGAATGGCATCCTGCATTTCTATAAAACTAAGCCAGGTAAACCTTTTGTGTGTACAGTATAGTTCCTTATTGGGTCTCTCACACACGTCTGGGTAGAGTTTGTTTTCTTTGGATTATTTTCAATAGTATATTATTACCAATTGTGGTGTGATTTTCTTTCTCAGGTAGTTTAAGCAGTTTCAGACTTGTTTAGAGAAGCAGCTTCTTTTCCTCCGTTGTGCTCTTTTAGGTTTGTTTGACTCCTGACCTGATGTCGGCGTCTTCTTGCTTCTGCAGAGGCGGCTTCACAGTACAGTTGCATTTCTGCTGCATGTTAAAGCAGACAGTGGAATTATGTCTTTCTCTGGGACTAAAAGGACTCTTCTCTACTTCTGCTTGGCTCAAGGTCCAGTTTGTGGCGGCGATGAACTGGACCCTGTTCTGCTTTCACTGGTGCTTTTGAGATGCCTCCTTTTTGTAGTGGAATAAAATGGAAGTGCTGTGATATGATTTCCAAAGTTTGGTCAGATGTGTATTTTATTCATCAATATTAGTTTTTAAAATGTATGATACGTTTCTGCTACATAAAATATGTTGAGTTACTACAAACACCAGAAGGTACATCTACTTTTGCTTCTTTAAGACATTTGATTCTGGAAGAGTTTTAATTATTATAAGAGTATATGCATCCTTAACCATAGGCAATCATTCAATCCATGGCCAATCATCCAGAGTTGTACAACAGAGAGAGAGAGAGAACTATACTAGCACTGACAAGTTCAGGTCAGACTATGATTTCTCAGCTCTTTTTTTCCTGACAAACTCATTTCAAAAGTGTTTGAGCAACTTTGATATAAATTGTAATGAATCCGTTATAAATCTGAAGGCTTGTCAGACTTAGCCTTAGATTTTTTTTTTTTTCATGCGAGTATTTCCCTGAAAACTATTTAAATAAAACAGGAAAAATCTTTGGTGGAACCTACGGATTCCAGTGACAACTATAAAAAGAAAAACATTTACAGTGAAATCAACTACAAGTACCAGTGATAATGGGAAAAAAAATTCCTGTGAAATCAACTACAGAGAAACAAAGGCAAAAAGATTTAAAGTAACAGCTTTATTGTTTTTCATCCATGTCCGGTTCTGCTTTTAACATCTAAGATATCAGGTCTCTTAGTTCTTCACTGTACTCCATGATCCACAGCTGGAAAAATGGGCCCCCTGAAATGAAAATATTTATGAAGACTGAAATATTTTCTGGAATTAAGCCACAAATTGTTTTTACAAAAACTGTCAAAGAGTGTCTCTTACCTCAATGTCCTCATGAGGGTTGGCACAACTGAGTCTTCCTGTGAAGGCTTGTTCCATCCCTCAGTGTCAAGATCATCTTGGATTGGAGGCAGGGCTGTAGGGGAAAACAAAGACAAAATAGACGAAGTTATTTTGTTCTGTAAACCTTTGGTCCACCTTAACATTAAGTTAAAAAAAAAAAAGTGTGGAGGGCATTCCACTGAAGCATGTAAACCAATTAAGAGAACTGCTCACTTTAAGATGTTCTTTGGTTGGGGACACTTCTCCCTGAAACTTCCCTCCAACATCCACACTCTCAGGTCCATTGTCCCCACTCACTCTTGAACATGCACTGAAACAAAATTGCAATCAAATTGCCCTTAAAATGACTGAAAACCCACATTGACTACTACGATGAAGCCTAATTTGATATTTTAAACCTTACAGCTGCTGTCTTAAAACACCATATATCAAACTAGGAAGCTTGTGAGTGGAAAAAAAAATGGGTCAGATTGAAACAAAGAATGAAGTGTTGGCACATATTTGACTTAGTTTGACAACAGAAGTTGACACTGTAAACGTTCTGAATGTTAAAAACTTGTTACTCTAACTTAAAATAAGTTCAGAAAAGTAAAAGACGTTCTCTCAGATTTATCTTTCCAGCCACTGCTGTATGATCGGTTCAACTAAAGATATTCCTCTGTTTTATTTAGGTAGTTTTCAGAGAAATACTGGTGTCCAGTTATTCACATGAAACAAAATCTAAGGCTAAAGGCCAAGTCTGACAAGCCTTCAGATTTAAAACTGCTTTAGAGGATGAATAAGAGCATGTTCTGTGTGTACATTTACTGCAGAAGAAGTCTTACTGTCATCATCTTCCCTCCAGCTCCCCTTCATGTCATACTCCTGTTCCAGGTTCGGTGGCTCTGAGGCGGTCAGATGCTACAGCTCAGGACGCTTCATCCGTTCATGACACCTGAAGAGTGTAAACAGGTGGATAAGAGACAGGGGCTGCAGGTTTCTACAGCTTTAACTTGATCATGTATCCAGATGCCAAAGGACTGGAGCTGGTTCTGCTGTGCCAGTTAAAGAGACTTCAAACTGTCAAAGGATCAAAAGCTTGTATTGACAGCTGGGTCAGATGTGTCACCTGTCCTAAGTTATTTCTCCGCCCTGTGTCAGCCTGGACAAAAAGCTTTCAGATGCTCCAAGACAAATGAGACCGATACGATCAAAAGCTCCAGAAAAACTACTAAATGGAACTTGTGATGAGATTGTTTTCTCAACATTATTATTAGTTGCAGACTTATTTAGAAGTCGAAATAAAGCCCATCTGCCATGTTTAAGCATTGATAGTAAAGAAATGACATTCAAACACTCATCACTAAAGATATCAGCAGAGGGAAATAAAAAAGCAAAGTGACAGGCTTCGTGTGTGTAACAACACTAATCAGGTGTTAATGGTAACGTTACCTGGGCACGTGGTTCACATTGTAAGGAACCAACCCAACTTTGTGTCTCTCCAGTAGAGTGTTCTCGTTTATCTTCATGGTGCTAAAACAGACACAAACACCACCAGGACCGATAACAATAAACTGAATTCAACCCTTGTACATCTCATCAATATATTACAACAGTTTGATACCGAATCACAAGATGAGACCATTCTTCCTACAGATGTATTAAGGGGAAAAGGTAGAAGATTTTTCAATGTCTGTATTGTGAGAACGTTTTTTCATAACGTTAATTGTTATTTTTCCCACTGAATGTTACTCGCCTGGCAAATTTGGCTTTCTTCTGGGGTTGCTTCTACGTTCTGGGGTCCACTGCACATGGGAACTAGGGGACAGTGGGGGACAACGCTGAACTTTCTCAGTACCACATACCACAGTAAGGCATATTTTTCAGGAGGCGGTCAGACCCCTTTATTAATCTTTTTAATGGTCTACATTTGTGTCCATAAGTATTTGGACTGTGACAGTTTGTGTAATTTTGCCTCCATACTCCACCACAATGAATCTGAAATGAAGCAGTTTATTTATGGGGCCTGTGGTGGTGCGTGTGCAGCAACGCTTTGTTAAAATGCGCTACCTGCTGGCTACAGATGGAAAGGACTTGCCTGGAATGTGTCCGTGCTCTTCAGGCACCGGGTGGCCGTCATGATGTTGGACTCTGTGAGCTGGGATCCACGTCTCTGGCACCATCTTAAAGTCTTCCTCTACGTTCCATATGAAGCCTGAGAAGGAACAAAAACAAAAATATTCTAAACATCCCTGGAAACACAAAGCAGACCATGGCAAAATAAATCAGACACCAACTCTATTTACTTTAGAAAAAGCTAGAGGAATAATAAATAAGGTCCTTTACCATGTACCAAACAAGTCATTTGATAAATGACTAAAATTCCAAGATTTGGTGAAACACAGATTATTACATATCATATATAAAATAGTCAGTAAATTAATAAAAGGTAATATCCAAATGGTGTTCAAGATGAAAAAAATTTAGATGAGCGTCTATGTTTAAAAGTAGTACGAATATGTTAACAGATGTCTTTCAGTTACTCTGATGATTTGACAAGGTGTGACAGTAAATTTAATATATTGATAAAATAGTTTACTTAATGGATATATATTAAAAAAAAAA